GGGGGGGGGGGGGGGCGGCGGCGAGGGAAGCGAGAACAGATGCATGCGCACGCGGCAGGGCGCGATGCTGGGCAAAATCCCGACACGCCGTCCGGACAGCACGTGAGCGCGAGCGCATCAGTCGTGTGACCATAGAGCGCGCCCGCACGTGCCGGCCCAGCGATGAATTGCCATTGTGATAACACCCGCCCGGGCCGTGCGTGAGAACACCAGGCACCGCTCTCGCAAGTGGTGGGTGTGTATTGCCCCCGCCGCACATCGCGCGCGCGCGTGCTGGAGGGCCGCCCCTCCCACCCCGCTCCAGCAGGGAGGGCAAACAACGGGCCGGCGCCCATGGGGAGGCACGGCGGGGGGAGGGGAGAAGCGAGGGGCGCCAACCAGAAAGGCAGAGGCCAAACGTGTGTGCCGTGCGGCCGCGCGTCTATCTACACACACACACACACACACACACACACACACACACACATACATACATACATACATACATACATTCACGCACACATGCCAACATGCATGCTCAAACACGCGTGGCGGCGGCCCCCAGGCGACGGAGGGTGTGGCACCATGCACGCGCCCGGCACCGAGGGCCCAGGCACAGGGCATGGGGACAAGCAATGCACATGCATACAACACGCGCAGACCCCAGCCCCACCATGATGGCTAGCCCCCCCTGGCCGGCGGCGGCACCAGCGGCGCACTCCCGACCGCCTCATCGGGCAGGCCATACCGCCTGCGGAAAGCCGTCACGAAATGCCCATACAGCGTCCGCGCGTCGGCCACCACCTGGCTCTCCTCCGTGTTGTAGGTCCGGGCATTCTTCAACAGCAGCCCCATGTCCCGGAAGAGACCGCGCCAAATGCGCGACGAGGCGGCCAGCTCGGCCGACTCGGCCCCCGGCGCCAGGCCCAGCACCACGGGGTCCGGCTCGGCGGCCAGCGACGCCCGATCGGTCAGGTAGTACCCGCTGATGAGGCGCCGGCTGATGATCGTCATCGAAATGGGCTCCGCGATGATGGTGTAGTAATCCGGATAGAGCGACCGGTTGGGCAGGTTGTGGAAGAGCGCCGCCGCCTCGCGGAAGGGCTCCTCCCGCGAGGGAAGCGACCCCATGGCACGGAACAGCTCCAACGTGAACCCCAACGCGCCGGAATACCCGCGATCCAGCTGCAACCCGGCGATGGCATTGGCCGGCGGCGGCGGCGGCGGGTCATCGGGCCCGAGCGGCACGGCACCCTTGGCGGCCTTGCGCCGGCCGGTGGCGGTGGACTTGCGCGGCCCGGGCGGCGCCTTGGCCGGCTTCTTGGCCGCCGGGGGAGACGCCGCCCTGGCCGGCCTCTTGGCCGCCGGCGACGGCGGCGCCCTGGACCCTGCCGCCGGGGCACGCGTCGACCCCGCGCCAGCGCTTTGCACCACCGACACCATGACCGGCGATGCGCCGCCACTGGAAATGCGAAGACGCTGAAGGAAAGCCGCACAGCCGGCCCGGGTCAGCGAAAAGCGCCCCCTCTCCGGGGGCAAAGGGGCCCCCGGGAACCAACGCACAAAAGAGAAGCAGCCCGCCGGGGGGGGGAAAAAAAAAGACACAAAGGCACATCGCAACGCACCTTGGCCGGGGGAGAGCCGGCCGCGGCCGCGGTGACAGCGGCCGCCGGCACCGGCTCCTCGGGCACCGCCAAGTCGGAGTCCGATGCGCCGCCGGACTCGGCCAGGCGCGATGCGCTCCGCTCCGCCCGCCGACGTAGCCGCTGCAACTTCTCCTCGATGACCTCCTCAATGTCTCGGCCCTGCTCCACGGCGTCCAGGTACTCCGTCTCGGAGAGGATGTCCTCGGAATAGGTGCGCACCTACAGGCCCGGCAGCCGCAAGCACGGCGAGGACCGCATCAGGAGGGGGGGGGGGACGTGTCAGTATCAGCCACGAACATGCGCACAAAAAAAACACATGCAGGCCCGGCAGGACACGCACGGCGGTTGGCCGCCGCCGGCCGCGCCCGGTGCTCTCCAGTTTCTCCAACTTCTGCTGGGGCGTCAGCTCCGGTGCATCGGTCAGCGACCGGGTCAGATTGTCCACCACGGCCTTCGGCAGCTCCGACACCTCCATCAGCCTGGGGATCCGGGAGGAGGGGGGGGGGAGACAGGGGGGCGAGTCAATGTCAGCGTGTGGCCTCGCTTCGGACGGAAAGCCGGCGGGAAGTCGCGCGAGGGCGGCTGGGGAAGGGAACAAAGCCAGGAGCACGGCAGGCGCACCGCGGCAGTGGGGCACGCCGTGTGTTACGGAAGGATGCCGCCCGGTCTTGGTCGCGCTCGCGGTCAATGCGCGAGTACAGCTCCAGCTCCGCTTCATTGCGGGCCAGCTGCTCGTTGAGCTCCTCGTCGTCGATGATCTGTACCGGGGGACAAATGTCAGCACACCAGCGCAATGCCGGACTGGAATTCAGGGGGGGGGGGGACACTCTGAGGCACATATCCACGCACCGACAGCGAGGCATCGTCATCGTCCTCGCCACGGTCCATGGCCAGCAGCTCCTTCAACATGGAGTCGCGGTCGCGGTGGCTGGACTTCTGGTCGAACTTGCCGGCCTGGATGACCTTGGCATCGACGTTCAGCTTGTACTGGGCCCGCTCCAGGACGAATTCCTCAATCGAGTCGGCGGTGATCAGCCGGAAGACGCGGACTTCCTGCTTCTGCCCGATACGGTGAGCACTTTGCCGAGGGTGGGCCGGGGGGGGAGGGGTGGGGGGTGGGGGGGGGGAACAAGGCTGTCAGAAAGAGGTGTACATGTGCGTGTGTGCGTGTGCATGCACGTGTGCGTGTGCGCATGCGTGCGTCTGGCGAGAGGAGAGGCATTGTGCTCGAGGGGGGGGGGGGGGCGAAGGCGCAGGAAAGCAGAGCGGCACGACGTACCGATCCTGGGCCTGGAGATCGGCAAAGGGATTCCAGTCGGACTCGAAGAGAATGACCGTGGAGGAGGTCTGCAAGTTCAGGCCAAGCCCACCGGCACGCGTGGTCAGCATGAACACGAAGTACGGGCTGTCCGGGGCGTTCCACAGTCGGACAGCATCGTGGCGCTCCTCGGCTGCCATTGGAGAAGAGACGATCGGACATGAGTCAGATAGGGAGTGTCTGTGTGTGTGTGTGTGTATGCGTCCATGGTAGCCAGTCTGCGGCAGGGAAAATGGCGCCCACAGCCGGAGCACGTACACTTGGTGTTCCCTTGCAGGCGCAGGAACTGGAAGGCCCGCTGCTGAAGGTACTGCTCCACAATGTCCATCATGCTGGTCGACTGGAAGAAGATGAGGGTCTTGTGCCCGGCGGCCCGGAGCTTGGGGAGCATGCGCTAGGCGGGCACCACATTGCGGCCATGAGCGAGATGAGGAAAGAAGTGGCACGGGACTGTGAGCAATGGACCCAGATCATGGCCATACCCAGGGCAGGTCCCTTGGACTGTCCGTCGAAGCAGGGCAGGACAGGGCGCAGGGCGGACAGGAAGGGAATGCCCGGGCAGAGGAAGGAGGGGCCCACCGGCGGGGGGACGTACATCCAACAGGTCCAGCTTGCCCGACACACGGACCAGGCGCTCGGCGTACGTGCCGGCCGGGTCCTCCGGGCTGTCGAGCCCGCCAATTTGGTCGATGACCTCGTCGAAGAGGAACGGGTGATTGGACATCTTGCGCAGCTGCATGATGAGGTTCTGGTAGACGTGCGGCCGGGAGGGCGTGCCATCAGGATTGTCTCCGCCCGAGGTTGCTGCGTTCAGGGATAGGGACCTTTTCCCCCGCCATGGGCACGAGACCAAGGGAGAGGGAGAGCGAGAGAGGGAGAGAGGGAGATGGATAGAGGGGGAGGGAGAGAGGGGGAGGGGGGGGGGGGCAATCGACAGGGGAGCGGGGAGGGGAGAGGGAGAGAAGGGGGGAGGGGGGGGGGCAAGCGGGGGAGCTGGGGAGGAGTCGGCCTCGAGAGTGGGTGCGGGCGGCCGGCACGCCGGGCAGCCCCGGCTGTGGGCGCTCATGAAGAGGCGCGCTGGGCCACTGTTGGGCTGGGGAGAGCCGGCGAAACTGCCGGACCGGGGGGGGGGCGACCCGGGGCCCGGGGCGTGGGGGAGCGGGCAAAGTGCGCGAGAAGCTTCCCCCGGGCGAGGGGCCGGTCCCTCGCCGGCGCGTGAGTGCGCCCCCGGGAGAGTGGGAGAGAGGACGGAGAAAGCGCGAAAGAATCCGCCTCCGGCAGAGAAGCCCCCAGGGCAGCAGGCCGGCCTGGGCGTGTCGCAGCGTGGCGGCCGATCTCCGAGCTCGGGGCCGGGCTCCCAAGGAAGCCACCGCCGGCCGGCCGGCCGGGAGACCGTCGGAGGGGGAGGGGGGGGGGGGGGAGATCCGCCCCGGGCCCTGCTGCGTCGGGCCCGGGGCATCTGACCGGCCCCCGCGCGCCGTGTGGGGCTTCTCTCCCTGCGGGCCTCCCCGGGGCAACGTGCCCCTCCTGCGCGGGCGCCAGCGCCCGCCCCACCGCCCCATCCGGGGGCGAGGGCTCTAGCCGCGCCCGGCCGGAACTAGTCGCGAGCAGGTGGCGCAGGGGGCCGGCCATGCGCCGGGTCCCGGCGCGCCGTCGGCATCCCCCCCCCCTCCCTCCCCCCAAGGCCCAGCGAAAAGGCCTGGCCGGGGCCGGGGGCTGTGAATATGAAATTCGCAACAACCGCGCGGCGGCGCCGAAGGGGCACCAACAACCGCGGCGGCCCCGGCGCCCGGCCTGGCTGGCCCGGCCTGGCTGGCCCGGGGGTGACTTGGGGGGGGGGGGGGGGCGCACGCGAGCGCCGGTGGCCGGCCCCGCCGCCCGGCCGCCCGGCCGCCATGCCCGCCCGGCGCCGCGCCGGGGCCACGGACACCAACTGTGGGAACCGCGGCCCCGCCCCACCGGCCGCCGGCGGCGGGGGAGCCGGCCACCCCCGGCGATGGCGAGCACGCACGCCGGAGCCCGGCCTGGGCCTCTCGCCCTGCCCGGCCTCGAATGCGCCGGGACGGGACCGGGAGGGGGGGGGGACGGGACCGGGAGGGGGGGACGGCCGGAAGGGGCGGCGCGGAACGCCGCAACCGCATCCCCCCCCCCCCCCCTTGTGCACTCAAAGGAGACGGATGCCGGCAAAAGTAACGGCCGGGCGCGGGCAGGGGCGCGCGCCGCAGGCCACCCGCTCTCGGGACCGGCCCTGCCCCACAACCCCGCCGCCAGACGCGCCCCGGACCGTGGGCCCCTCCCCTCGGGCGCCCTCTTCTGACCCTGGGGGACATGGGCCTGCCGTGGTGAGCGCGGGCCCCGGCCCGGACACGGCACGCCGGCCTGCGCCTTCGTTGGCCGCCGCCGCCGGCCCGCCCCGGGCATCGAGCGAACGCGCATGCGCGCGGCCCCTTTGGGGCACACAAGGACGCCGCGCCACGCCCCGGCCCCGGACGAGATGGGGCCCGATGGCCCCAGGGGCCGGGGGCCGCGGCGCGGTGCGCCCGGCATTCCCCGCCCCTCCCCCGTGCGTCTCTGCCGGCTCTGGCCGGCGCGCGCGCGCGCGCGCCCGCGTGCTTCCACCACACAGGGCGAGTCACACGGGCGACCGCCGGCGTCCCCGGGCCGAGGAATGCCACCCCTGGGCAGGGTGTGTGATGCCGGGAGTGATGCGGGGCCGGTGTTGCCGGTGATACATCCCCCCGGCCCCGGGGGCGCCCTCGCGCGCAAGATGATGCCACCGCCGGCAGCGGCTGCCGGAGTCCGGCCGTTCGTGGGCAGCCCCAGGCCGCGGCGCGGAGGGACCGGCGCGCTCTGGGGCGCGGATACGCCGCCCCATCGGCCGGGGTTTCACATTGCTCCGGAAAAGGGGACCGCGCCTCCGGCCCCGGGGCTCGCCCGGGCACACACGCATGAGTGATATCATGCGTGACGTCCTGCCTTCCCCCCCCCCCCCCGTCCGAACCGGACCGCCCGCACCCGAAGAACAAACACCTGCCCCCGCCCGGCCCGAGGAAGAAGCACGCCATGGCGCTCGCCCCGGCCTCGGTTGCCGCGGGGCGTGCCCCCATCTCCGACGCCCCGGCTGCGGGGCAGATAAGAAGCCCGCAGCCGGGGGGAGACCGCGAACGGCGCGACGAGGGCGGCGGACAAGCGACCCAACACGAGCGAGCGAACAGGCGAGCCGCCGGCGATCTCACGAGCCTACCGGTCTTTCCCCCCCCCCCCCCC